ATTACTGTTGATCTATGATCAATAGAACTCTAACCACAGTAAGAGATTATTCATATCCCATTCAGGTTGCTATATTACTGTTGATCTGTGATCTATAGAACTTCCAGATCACAGTAAGAGGTTATTCATATCCCATTCAGACTGCTATATTACATTAATGTTGATATGTGATCTATAGAACTTCCAATCACAGTAAGAGGGTTATTCATGTCCCATTCAGACTGCTATATTACATTATTGTTGATCTGTGATCTATAGAACTTCCAATCACAGTAAGAGGTTATTCATGTCCCATTCAGACTGCTATATTACATTAATGTTGATATGTGATCTATAGAACTTCCAATCACAGTAAGAGGTTATTCATGTCCCATTCAGGTTGCTATATTACTGTTGATCTGTGATCTATAGAACTTCCAGATCACAGTAAGAGGTTATTCATATCCCATTCAGACTGCTATATCACATTAATGTTGATATGTGATCTATAGAACTTTCAGATCACAGTAAGAGGTTATTCATGTCCCATTCAGACTGCTATATTACATTATTGTTGATCTGTGATCTGTAGAACTTCCAGATCACAGTAAGAGGTTATTCATGTCCCAATCAGGCTGCCTACCTATTATTATATTAGCATAATGTGCTTCCTTACTCAAGTAATAGAAAATCTCACTGTATAATTTGGGACCATAGGTACTTATAAAGGTGATGGTTGAATCCCACTACTCGGTCAGATAAGAGTAGCCCAAGAATTTGTGATAGGGTCTTTTGACTAGTTGCTTTCCATCAAGTCTTATGTTCAAAAGTAGGGATGGCTAGTGCTTGTGATGTAATGGTCAGCTACCAGCATCTCCTAGAAAAAAATACACAGTAAAAAAATCATAAGTGTACCTGCAAAAGATGACCTGACTTTAAAATAACCCTCTTTCATCAACGTTCACACATTACATTCATCAGCAATGATTTTACATGATGTCTGGAATACATTGTACAAATTGTAGTGCAAAACCAATTTTTCAGTATCAAAACCAACAGTGTATACAACCTTAGTGCTATAGTATGTTAGTAGTAAAACCTTCAACCAGTTTTTTCTTCAATAACATGGTTTGATGTTAATTCGTCACTAAAACCACTTTGTGATATTAACAGTAATATTTGTTTAAGAACACAATTTTCAGATAGGGTTTGTCTTTATTATTATGCTGCTTTATATTAGTTTTTCATCAATAAATTAAAAACTGTGTATCATATTTTGTCTAGTATTAAGCCACTATTAGGTTGTGTTTGTAGTAAAGTTTTTTGCTACTGAAAAGAACAGAGAAAATATTTTATCCCATTTTTTTACAAGCTTTGTAATTTGTTTTGTTTTTTAAATTGCATGTCATTATCTAAATCCAACAGGTTAATTATCAACAAAAAAGAAAGGAAACTGAAGAAAGGTTCTGGATTCCACTTAGATCTGATGTTAATCAGTTACATGGAATTAGCATGTGCCATTTTAGGAGGTCCATGGATTTGTGCTGCCACTGTGCGGTCAGTTTCTCACGTGGCCAGTCTGACTGTGATGAGTAGAACTCATGCCCCAGGAGACATGCCTCATGTTATTGAAGTGAAGGAGCAGAGATTAACAAATCTAACAGTCTCTCTTCTGATTGGTAGGTTAAAGTAGTCTTGGTGTTATTAATTTAGACTTGTACAGAGTATCTGAAAAGCCTGAACCATAGTTGATTTGTGATATGCGACTGATTATGGCACTGTCAAAGCATGAGAAGGTAGAGTTAATACTACTATTAATCCAGACTTATTTCTAATTACAAGAACATCACGTGAAACACATTCTCTAAAATTTGTTGAAGTGCCTATGGTTCCAGACTTTTTGGACACCCTATACTTCAACTCAATCATAAAAATTGTGTTGAAATAATATTTGATCTCTTGGAGCTCTTTCCAAAAATTGAAGTAGATACATACACCCAAATGTTTCAAATGTGTGCTGAAGTGTTTCTATCAGAGAAATTAAGCTGAGAAAAGTCATAAAGGTGAACTACAAAAAAAAAACTTATGATATAGTCTTTTGTATTCTATTTTCATTTACACTGTTTCTTACTGCATGTACCATGAAAGAATACTTTGAGGCAAATAAATGACATTCAGAAATATTCACTTGCTGTCCTGTTTTTTGATGTATAGAAAAAAAAAAGAGTCTGTAATTTGTATGTTTGTGATAAATCTGCCATTAAACTATGAGGAAAATGTATAACTTGTTTCAAGCCGTTTTCTCACTAATACAAGTATTTTTTGTTGTTTAAATATGAGTTTCTTGGTTAGTTATAAGCAGTAGAAGATCAAAGAGCATGTTACATGTTAACTCGGTACAGAGTTACATTCAAACTTTAATTAAAATGATTTTGTTAGCAATGTCTATTAATAAACTTCACATCAAAATGTTACTTATAATTCGAATTTTTATATCATCTAAGTTTTAATTCTTAATTTTAAAATGAAATATTAAGTAAATTTTAGTCATGACTTCTCTATAATGCACTTGTCCTGCGATTAACCCATCTTAGATTTTCTTACTATTATTTATATGATTTTCTGTGTGTTTAACTACACACACTGTAGATATTTACAAGCCAGAAAATAAAATGTTAAGTCCATATGACATGCCTTACTGTATCATTCTGTGTTAAAGAATGTCAGTAATTCCCTCTGACATTGGATTATTTACATTCAGTAGAAAGAACAGGTTTTCTTTACGAGATTTTTTATTCTCATTATTTTCATATTTAGCCTCAGTATCATTGTTTGTGATCATGGTTCTCACCTCAAGCAGCTAACAATTATTTTAGCCTAGTTTTTTTTGTTCTAAAATGCATATTTGAAATAAATCTGAATTATTTTATAGGCAACCTAAACTGTCATAAAAAAAAAGGTAGGTTTAAAATGCTGTATTTTGATGGCAAAAGACCAGAGTTCAAACATAAGTGCTAAATTTCTTGTTTTTATGCATATATTTTATTCATTGTTATATGTATTTTGATGAAACTAGCTAAAATGTAAAAATTAAGAGGTTAATTAGGTTAGATAAGAAAACTTGACACAATATTTAATATTGTACGTTGTGGCAACTACAAGACTTATCATAGTATGAATGTAACATGATTGTTTGTTTACATTATGCTTTCCTGCTGTCTTTAATGATTTTTTTATGCACTCTGAGATAGCTTAACTACACATGTAAAGCAATAAACTGAATGAAAACTGATGTGAAAGGCTAATAGCTTTCTCTGTTAGATAAGGTAAGCGTAATTGTCTGTTACAGTATGTAGTCTTTTCAACATTGATTTTGTATTTTCCAACTTTTCATTTTACCCTACATTACTAATTTAGCTATAGTTAGCATTAGGGTAGAGAAAATAACAGATAATATATAAAAATTTCCTTAAAAAAAAGTGAATGATGTTCATTTAGGAGGTTCCAGAGGTTATGCTGTTGAAATATGAAAACTGTGAAATGAAAAATATTTTTATTTGTAATATGAAACTCACCTTTCACTCAGACTGACTCGGTAAAGGTTCATAAGTTCACAGACAAATCTTTAATAAAAATTTTGTTGTTTTTTTTTAAATCTGATTTTTTAGGTACAACAGACTTGTAATGTTAACTAAAAGTATGCCAAATTTCTTGAAGGTACATATACTACAATCAGACAAATCTTTAATAAAAATTTTGTTGTTTTTTTTTAAATCTGATTTTTTAGGTACAACAGACTTGTAATGTTAACTAAAAGTATGCCAAATTTCTTGAAGGTACATATACTACAATCAGAGTTATAGAATGTATAGTTTCAAGTTTACAAGGTTGGTCAAAATGACCAAGCCCACGTGCATAGAGTTAAAGGGAACGTGTTTCTCTCTTTATTGTTGAATATTATCTTAAAGTCACTTTGCAAAACATATAGGCAGTCCTTAGATCACAAAATTGTTCTGAGATTTCATGTATAACAATATTACTGCACTGTTTGTTAAAACTTCTATAAGAAAAAAAAATAGATATGATCTTTCTGGTTCCTTCTAGGCTTGTCAGTTCTGATGGCTCCTCTTCTCAGGAAGGTTCCTGTAGCCGTTTTGTTTGGAGTTTTTCTGTACATGGGAATTTCATCCATGAGTGGAATTCAACTTTTTGAGAGAATTCAGCTGCTTTTTATGCCAGTGAAACACCATCCTGCAGTACCTTATGTTCGTAGGGTAAGTTCTACAAAACAGAGTGTTTGTTAACAGTGAAACACTCGTGTTGTACCTTATGTTTGTAAGGTAAGTTCTACAACAAACAGAGCATTTGTTAACAGTGAAACACAATCATGTTGTACCTTATGTTTGTAAGGTAAGTTCTACAACAAACAGACGTTTGTTAACAGTGAAACTCCATCGTGTTGTACCTTATGTTTGTAAGGTAAGTTCTACAACAAACAGACGTTTGTTAACAGTGAAACTCCATCGTGTTGTACCTTATGTTTGTAAGGTAAGTTCTACAACAAACAGACGTTTGTTAACAGTGAAAATCCATCGTGTTGTACCTTATGTTTGTAAGGTAAGGTCTACCACATACAGAGCATTTGTTAACAGCGAAATATTGTACAAACAAATAAAAGATGTTTACACTTGAGAAAAATAATCCTTTACCACAATATTTTGTTTGGAAATTGAGTTAGAATAACTTTCTATATGGACATCTTTTTATGTGCATGTCACATGGTTTTATTGAATTACATTAAAAATTTAATTAAACTACTTTATTATTATGGTATATGAACAAACTTGGCATAAAAACATAGTTAATAAATCAAAGTTTAATATTATATAAGTTTTAATATCTTAAATTTATAAGAAAATATTTTTTTAAATCCTCAATTTCACCCTAGTAAAAAATTGTGACATTTGCTCTCTAGGTATCTCCTCTTCTCTAATTTATTTACCACTCCTTCAAAAATTACAAAATTTAATGTAAATTGCTCAATATAATATAGTTATCACTTGGGCAAAGCATACTTTTTATAGCCTTCAATCTTATTTTGTTACCTAGCCATAAAATAGAAAATTAGACCCCCTCTTGCCATGCTCACCTTTCACATCCTTTCTTTCACAAATTGCCAGTATTTCTTTTTGACATTTAATACTAAATTATTTATAACAAATATAAAGCTAAAGTTTTGATCTATCAAATGACATATTATATCATGTTGTATTTTGTACAGAGAATTGTCTATTTCATTTCCAGTTGAAACTTTATTCCCATGGGAAACACATCAATAAGTTTAGCTGAATTTTTAATGACCTTTATTGCATAGTTAGAAAGCCAGAAAAATTATGATAGTTATTGAATATTGTCTGCATTTTATGTGTTATTGTTCTGTGTTCTTTGGTGTATTACTTAATTAAATAAATTTAGTGCAGTAGTACCATTAGTATAAAAAAGTAGGGTTAAGTGTCATCGACAGTTGATAGCAAAAAGAAAGAAGACCCAGATAAGTACTTTATTTCTGATTTTACTTTATCTGTTGTTATAAAAGTAACTAAAAGGTAAAAATTAGAAACTTTTAGGTTGAATTAGGTAAAATAAATAAATAAAATAATTTTTCATGAGGTATACTCATGAATAGCCCATGCATTATGTAATTGATAGGGTAATGTGAGCTACATGTTTGCCACGTGACTTGCAACTTGTATTTCATAAATATTAGTTAGATACTGTTCAAAGGACAATAAAACAGTAAAATTTAAATATAAACAGATGTATACTGTTACGAGTTTAAAGACATTGAAGGTAAACAAATGTAGTTTCATATTAGGATTTAAAGTCATTTCAGAATGAAAAAAGAGTTATTTATATTTATTTCATATTTTTTATGGTGGTTATGAAGTCGGTCAAATTGACCAACCTCGTGTAAAGTTAGGGTAGAAAAAATAACATAAAATATAAAGTTTTAATGGAAAAAAGTTTGACATTTATTTAGGATGGTTTAAAGATTATGCAAATGAAATTTGACAATTGTCAGATGCAAAAAAAGTATTTTTTAATCTTAACATGAAAATTATTTTTCACTTACTGTAGACTCTCACACACAAAACAAACAACTCAATGTTTTCTGAAAGCTTGCAAAATATTGTGGAGATACAGAAAATATAAATTATGTTATGGAACCAAAAAGGTCAATTTAGGTTCATACATTTGGCTGATTCAACTGAGCCCGTTGTGAAAGTGAAAAAGTAATTAAATGTTTTGCTGGTTATTTTGTTGTATTTTATCTTTATTTTAGAACTACATTTAATGCAAATTAATGTAATAAGATTTTGGAATTTTCCAAAGGTTGATTTGACTGCATGAAACTTTTTTATCTTGTTTCTTTGAAAAATAAAATAACAAAAAGCATCTTTAACCCATTCACTGTGGCTGGGACATATATATATTTCGCAGTGCTCCCACCCCCTCACACTGTGACTGCGACAAATGTTTCCCATTGTCGACACTATTTATTCCTTCTTCTACTGGGTCGCGGTTCGTCATCTTTACTGTCATCACTAGATGGAGAGCTAACATCCTTTTGTACCGTTGCCTTTTCATCATCATGCATTTGAAGACTACTTGACTCACTTTCACTATCTTCTAAGCTGTCTGAGTCAGTTGCATCAAGCAGTATTTACGTAGTGATTAGGGTTACAACTCACTGCTCTAGCGATGCAGGCACAGAGTTGTCATACATTCTGCTTAGGCATCTTGTTGGTTACTGAAGGACTGAGTGGAAAACATTGAGGGAAACCATATATCAACATTAAGTGGGATAGCAATAAATACTTTCACACTCATTTTACTCCCATACGTAACGCGTTGCAGTTTTGAATAATGATGGGCAACCTTTGTCCCAATCAAAGTATGAGGGGGATGGGATCACTGGGAAGTATACGTCCCAACTGCAGTGAAAGGGGTAATTCTCAAATTTTTTTATCATAAGTGAGATAAAGGTTCAGTATTTGAGTGAAATAGAAGAATAAGATAAGAGTAAGGTCGAAAACAATTGACTTGAGAGAGAATAAGATACTAAAGAGTCAATTATGAAAAGATAAAAACATAGTTGTGTTTTATTTCTTTTGTCAGCTTATCATTCACTCAGAATCAAATAGATTGTACTTCCATTAATTTCAAGTTCAAACATGGAAGGTGAATATATATACAGCTTACATGTTTGTTTATCCTTTGGATTGATTTCAGGTTCGAACATGGAAGATGAATATGTACACGTTAATACAGCTTGTATGTCTTGTCATCCTTTGGACTGTTAAATCAACAGAAGCTGCATTAGCCTTTCCTTTTGTACTCCTTATGATGGTGCCTGTCAGGCTGCAGTTAAAATGTTGTTTCACTGAGAGGGAACTTCATGCAGTAAGTACCAGCTATGTTTTAAAAGTTAGAGTATTTTTGAAATAAGTAAACACCTTGGATCACTAAAGGTTTATTAGGCTAGTCTAATATAAATATAGTAGAATATCCCAATAATATATATTTGTAACAGGCTGTCCCAATAATTTACAAGTATAAATTATTGGGACAGCCTGTTACAAGTATAGATTATTGGGATATTCTATTACAAGTATAAATTATTGGGACAGCCTGTTACAAGTATAGATTGCTGGGTTATAGTCTAATATAGATATAGATTATTGGGATATTCTATTACAAGTATAGATTATTGGGACAGCCTGTTACAAATATAGATTATTGGGTTATAGTCTAATATAAATATAGATTATTGGGATATTCTATTACAAGTATAAATTATTGTGACAGCCTTTTACAAGTATAGATTATTGAGACAGACTGTTACTAGTATAAATTATTGGGACAGCCTGTTACAAGTATAGATTGTTGGGTTATAGTCTAATATAAATATAGATTATTGGGATATTCTATTACAAGTATAAATTATTGGGACAGCCTGTTACAAATATAGATTGTTGGGTTATAGTCTAATATAAATATAGATTATTGGGATATTCTATTACAAGTATAAATTATTGGGACAGCCTGTTACAAGTATAGATTATTGGGTTATAGTCTAATATAGATATAAATTATTGGGATATTCTATTACAAGTATAAATTATTGTGACAGCCTGTTACTAGTATAAATTATTGGGACAGCATGTTACAAGTATAAATTATTGGGACAGCCTGCTACAAGTATAGATTATTGGGTTATAGTCTAATATAGATATAGATTATTCTATTACAAGTATAAATTATTGGGACAGCCTGTTACAAGTATAGATTATTGGGACAGCCTGTTACAAGTATAAATTATTGGGACAGCCTGTTACAAGTATAGATTATTGAGACAGACTGTCACTAGTACGAATCGTTGGGACAGCCTGCTACGCTTATGGACAATTGTGTCAATAAGCCCACAATCAGTTAAAAATTATACAAAAGAAAGAAATTCAAATATTACGAGACAGTCTAAGAAACACTGTACATTTTGAAAATCATATTATATTTTTAATATACATGATGTATATGGCTGTTCAGATTTCATTTATGGATGTTTACTCTCTTATTGTAGCATTATGTTTGGATTAAAAATATTTTGTTAACAGTAGTACAATATTCCGTGTATCTAATTAGCATACCTTTAAAACTATTAATCATAAAGAGCTTGTTTTCTTCCTTTAAACTTGTCTAAAAAGCATGCTGTAAGGTTTAATTTTACATTTAAACTGTATATTGGATGTATGAATTTGTTTTGTGTATCACAAACTTGACCTAATCCTAAATAAATTAGTTTATTTCTCAATGTTATCCAACTGTGATGTGTTTGTCATCAGTTCTTTTTTCTTACGTGAGCTTAACGTATCAAAATGCATGAATATTTCTCATGGTTATCCATGGTGTATGCTTTTCATCAGTTTTTTTTTATGTGGGCGTAATGTGTAAACAAGTGTCAACGAAATAAATAAGAAGAGTTATTGTTGTGTCACCCATGAGTGTGAACCTGGGATTTCTTTCACATAAAATAAAAGCTCTACCTAATTAGCTATATAGGGTCAACCCACTAGCAGTTGCTAGTAAGTCACTTTTTAATAACTCAAATTAACTTATGGTTATCGAGTGCACATTTCACTCAAAGTAATCATACCTTGACTAAATTTCATAACTTAATTGTATTTCTTTTTTTTTTTCTTTTGAAAATTATAAGTAGAAAATTAAACAGTTTTGTTTTACTCTTTACCGTGTTACGAAACACCAGAAAGATGGGTAAGTAAGGTTTTGTCAAATTGGTAAAACAACCATCACGTATCTTGTGCCATTTAATTAATAAAAGTGATAAACCTTTTAAACCACAATTATTTATTACTGTAAAACAAGGATATTTTGTTACATGTTTCAACCAAATTTTTTTTTATCATCATCAAAATATCCTTGTTTAACAGTAATAAATAATTGTGGTTTAAAAGGTGTATCACTGTCGTTAATGTAACGTTCTTTATTAGTTTTTACAGTAACCATTCCATTGTGTCTGTATGTTTCAGTTAGATGGAGAGGAAGTTGACAAAGAAGTTGAAGATGAACCAGACTTTTATCAGCAGATATTGCCATAAAAGGTGTATCACTGTCGTTAATGTAACGTTCTTTATTAGTTTTTACAGTAACCATTCCATTGTGTCTGTATGTTTCAGTTAGATGGAGAGGAAGTTGACAAAGAAGTTGAAGATGAACCAGACTTTTATCAGCAGATATTGCCATAAAAGCACAATCAAGTTGTGTGCATTATCAAAAAGATGAGCTTGTATTAAAAGTAAGGATATTTAGTATCACCATTTTGTATGAGGTCTGTGATAATTATGAAAGACTGGAATATTTTGTCAAGGAAAAACATTTTTGAGACTGTTCGTCTCGTGTTTGTGTGTATGTAAATGGAACAGTGGTGTCAAGATTATATATTTTCTACAAGTAATTGTACAAGGCATTTGAACTAGATAAGTTTGACATTATAGTATAGGGATATACGTGTTGTTTACAATATATATCACTAATGGTGAACTTTGCAAAATGTTTTATTGTATTGGTTTTGGTGATATTATGAATGTTGTCCAGGTATTTTAGTGTATTTATTCAGAAAATGTGAATGTTGTTACCACTGACTTCAAACTGCATTATGACCCCTCTCATTAATAGATAGACCTTATCATGATTCAGGTAATTATGGGACATTTATATGGCATTTGTTGAATATCCTTTTGGTTAAAAGTTTACTATTATCTGTGATCCAGGCTGTCGTAGAATCTCTCCAAATAGATCATGATAATACTCAGAATATCCCTGATTCAGTTTCCTCATCAGATATTATCATTAAGCTCTAAGGATTCAGGATCTTCCAACACTGGAATATATTGTTGGGCCAAAAATCTTTATTTAACAGATTCTTTATAAGAACCAACCCCAAAACTTAAATACCTTCAAATCTTTCAACAGTTGTATATCAAATATTGACATATATTAATCAGAAAACTGTCTTTGGCTCAACTGATACCATTATCAGAAAGTCTTTATTTGTTTTGAGCCAAGGAATTGATACGTATCTTAGTAGATATATGATTATAATATTATTATTATGTATTCGGTAACTGTAATATTTCATAAATTATGTTTTATTCAAGAAGGCATAAATGTTTAAAGTTATGTCTATTAAAAATTCTTTCCTTTTAGATATAAACTTGGTATAGAAACATTAGTTTTACTACTGTAAAAGGCATTTCTAAACGTAACTTTTTGTGACAACACTTTGAAAGTGAATAAAACGAGCATCATGCAGTTAAACTCTTGTCACACAATATATTGTCTCTGAAGGTGAAAGAATTTTTGAATGTGTCAAAAGCTTTATATAGCTATATTCATCACTGAGTTAAAAGTAGAGTGTAGAAAAAGGAACTTGGGTTCAAGAATAGTAGTGTGCAAATGTTTTTGAAATCAATAAAAGATGTAATGATAAGAAACGTTCATTTAAAAGAAAAAAATAACTTTTTTAAAAGGTATGTAAATTACTAAAAGTTTTTAGAAGACAAAAATCCATTTATATACATTTTGGAAGTGGATGGGACACATTGATAATTTGTGCATTGAGAATTTTGCAATTTGTTCAATTTTTCACCTCTACTTTTATTCAATTCTCAGTCAACAGATGGCAACAGTGTGTTCTTCACTAATAGCAGACATGTTTCCTTGCAAGATTTCTTTGTTTATTTTTACCTCGTTTCTTTTCAAGTTGACTGGTTTTACGTGAAGTAGTCTATTTAAAATCTCATTGATAGTGACTTCTTTATCCATAACTGTGTGTGCAAGTTAAGTCTTCTCCTCTCTCTCTTTATAATTTGTGCAGCACTACAATTGCAGCCATATGCAGAGGTCACACATTCGTTGTGAGTCGGGTTTCTGTCTCCAATCTCAACCAACTCGTCAGCATCAATAGTTACATGTCTTCTGTTCACCCTTCTTCTTAATGTTGTCCTCTTAACACCTTACAAAAGTATAAATGTATTGTAAAAGTTAAATGTAGGCTTTATTATTTCAAAACAGATTTTTATATGAGTAAGAAAGGAAGGCCTTCCTGATTCATGCTTTCAGTCTACTTGGTCTAATGAAGTTGAAACTTTATCCTTGAGTCAGATGTTACCTACTTGCTCAAAAGGAATTGAAACCTTCTCCTTGAGTCGTAAACTTTCCAACCTTGTTACATAGAAACAAATTACTTTTTGACACACTGATTATCTAATATTATTTCTTTGGTTAAGTAGTTGCACCACATATAGTGTTGCAACTTGAAATACAGCATCCTGTAATAACAAAATAGAAATCATTCATGGCTGAAAATATTTTACAAAAGCATTGGAGTGAAAGTTAAAAAATATAACCTTAACTGTAAATATCCCAGTATTTTACAGAACATAGAATGTAGGAAAGACTCCTCATTACATTTGATTCCCCCAATATGCAACTGAAACTGTTTGAAAATTTGTACAAAAAATTAACCACTGAATAGCTTTCATTAAAGACTAAAGTATTATATAATTTCTGATCTAAGTACAAAATTTTATTTAAATACTTATTTCTTGAAATTATTTTAGTGCTTAAAGATGATTCGAAAAGGAAAGTATAGTTAAAAATGCCAAATTTAACAAATTCTCTAATCCTAAAATATAAATTTATTTGTTTTTTTTTCCTAGCATTTCCTGACAACGAAATCATAGTAAATGTC